CTGGAACATGGTAATACTTAGTAGTCAGACAGGAGTGTAGCCAGGACACAACCCAGAAGGCCATCAACAACCAGACAGCAAGGTACAGGAACATCGGGCAGAGACAGAGTCAGGATACGAGCCGAGAATGGTACACAGCCAGGCAGTGAGGTACAGGAACGCAAGACAGGAGCAGAGTCAGAATACAAGCCGAGGTCACAGTAGGCAGGTAGAAATCAAAGGAAGGTCAGGGGCAAGTCGTGCACAGGTTAGCAGGTCAAGGTTCAGGTAAAGTAGGAAGTAGCTGAAGACCACTCCATCCATCCATGTCAGAGTGCAGCCTAAATAGACTGTTTGGTGTTGGTGCTCACGTGTGCGTGTGCATTTGCGCATATGTTTTCTGTACACGCTAATACGTTTGTGCAAGTGTGACAATGCCTGTTTTGTATTGAGCTTTTGCTCAGAATTATGAGCATGCACATAAATTTGAGCATGTGCCAGCTTTCTCCTTCCAACATGTACTGAGGTTTTCTTACAATTTTACACTATGAGAGGATCTTAAAGAGATGCCAGCAGATATGGGGCTCTGGAGAGATGTTTACCAAGCAGGATACTTCTGATTTCTTGGCGTAATTTAACTTTCTTGTTCACTCAAGAAGTTATTTTGATTTGGTTAGTGTGGTGTGAGGATTTGGGACACCCTGGAGTGGAAAGGGTTATAACCTTCTGCGACACCAAAGTCATCCTGCATTTAAGTAACACAAATAGGATGGCAAGTAAATACAAAAAGTGTGTCCACTCCAAACAACAAACCATATACTGTAAATTAAAAAAGCTGGGAAGGAGCTGGGGAGTGGAGGAGAGAAGCGTCAACAGGGATGGTGTGTGTGGAACTGTGCTGATCTGTGCTGCTTAGACCAAGCCAAGCTGGACTCATTCCACAGAGCCACATCAAGTTGAGGAGCAGACTGCTGTGCTGACCACTGAACTGGGAGACAACTCGAGGAAGATCCTTTATCGTCCAAAGTCATTGCTGAGGTACATGTACCCTGATTGCCACAGCGCTATCGTCACTTAAGGGGATCCCCACCACATGGACAGTTTGTGGTCTTCCAAGGACTGCTACATAAGGATTGGTTGAGAGTGTCTTTGTCCCACACAGTTGCTATAATTAACCCTTAGTTCTTGCCCACTCCGCAGGCCTGGCTGGACCATCATTCAGCATTGACATTGTTCTCCAATAGAAATTGTTCTCTAGTAAAAATGTATAAAATTTCTTTGGTGAAAATAACCCAAATCAGTATTTATTATTTAATCTTTAGAAAAATTATAGAGTCAACAAACTATGTTATACAGCTCTGGTCAAAAGTTTGAGAATGACTCAAATATAAATTTTTACAAAGTCTGCTACTTCAGTGTTTTTAGATCTTTTTGTCAGATGTTACTGAAGTATAATTACAAGCATTTTGTAAGTGTCAAAGGCTTTTATTAACAATTACATGAAGTTTATGCAGTCAATATTTGCAGTGTTGACCCTTCTTTTTCAAGACCTCTGCATGCTGTCAATCAACTTCTGGGCCACATCCTGACTGATGGCATCCCATTCTTGCATAATCAATGCTTGGGGTTTGTCAGAATTTGTGGGGATTTTTTTTGTTCACCCACCTCTTGAGGATTGATCACAAATTCTCAATGGGATTAAGGTTTGGGGCCCAAAAGTATGATGTTTTGTTCCCCAAGCCACTTAGTTATCACTTTTGCTTGGATGGTTGGGAGAAGTTGCTCTCGGGGGATGTTTTTGTACCATTATTTATTCATGGATGTTCTTAGGCAAAATTGTGAGCCCACTCCCTTGGCTGAGAAGCAACCCCACACATGAATGGTCTCAGGATGCTTTACTGTTGGCATGACACAGGACTGATGGTAGAACTCACCTTTTTTTCCCTGGACAAGGTTTTTCCGAGATGCCCCAAACAATTGGAAAGGGGATTTATCAGAGAAAATAACTTTACCCTAGTCCTCAACAGTCCAATCCCTGTACCTTTTGCAGAGTATCATTCTGTCTCTGATGTTTTTCCTGGAGAGAAGTGGCTTCTTAGCTGCCCTTCTTTACACCAGGCCATCCTCCAAAGGTCTTAGCCTCACTGTGCGTGTAGATGCATTCACACCTGTCTGCTGCCATTCCTGAGTAAGCTCTGCACTGGTGGTGCCCTGATTCCGCTGCTGAATCAACTTCAGGAGACAGTCCTGGCACATGCTGTACTTTCTTGGACACCCTGAAGCCTTCTTCACAACAATTGAACCTCTCTCCTTGAAGTTCTTGATGATCCAATAAATGGTTTATTTAGGTGCAATCTTAGTAGCAGCAATATCCTTGCTTGTGAATCCCTTTTTGTGCAAAGCAATGATGACTGCACATGTTTCCTTGTAGGTACATTAATATATGTAATTCTCAACACTTTTTGCCAGGGCTGTATATCTGAAAATCGATCAATCCTGAAATACTGATGGCCTATTACCCCTTTTTGGAAAGTAAACGGTCCAAGGTATTTAGCAAGAGGTATGATGGCATGGTCAGTTTTTTTAAATTGTAATTTTTTTGTCAGAATTCCTTGGAAAATGGATAAATATGTTCACAATTTTTAAAATACTGTCACCAGTGTAGTACAGAGTCATCATATAACTGGTATGGGGGTGATCAGAGATACTGACTGGTGACAGTATAAAAAAACTAAATGTTTTTTTAATTTAAAAAAAAAATTATTCTTTTTTTTTATTCTTTTTTTTTTTTTTAAACACAATGTGACCAGAGCAATATAATATTACCATATTAGCATTATACTGCTACTAGCAACAAGCGATTCATTCAGTGTTTTTTTATGATTAGCTGTGATTGGCCACAATTAATCACATGGTACAGATGGGCTATGATTAACCCTGTCTGTACCATGTAATCACTATAACCAATCACAGCTAGCAACATAATTGTATACAATGAATGGTACAATTGGTAGCGATTCAATGTTTACAATTGTCATGTGATCTGCTGTGATTGGTCACGGTGATCACATGGTACCAGCAGTGGGCAGATACACTGATCAGTCATTGACTGTGTCCACTGGACAGCATGATCGCGCACGAGGCTTGTTGACAAAAGACATGCCCGGCTGTTAATTTGCTATAGGCCAAGCGGGTTGTGTTTAAAATATGCTCTCACAATTTTCTATGCTTTCTTCAAGTTTATGTAATGCATTACGCACAATGTTATTCTGCATACATTTGTCTGTGTTCACATATACACGTATATATTTTCAGTAAATAATGCTAGATGGTTCATAGAAATGGAGGAGCTAGGCTGTCTTTTCCATGTGTCTGCATAGAAAATACAAGCTTTATATATACACATACTGGGGGGGGGGGGGTGTGAAATTTAACCACTTGCCCTCCAGAGGATTTAAACCCCTTCTAGACCAGGCCATTTTTTGCAATATGGTGCTGTGTTACTGTAACTGACAATTGTGCGGTCATGCAACGTTGCACCCAAATGAAATGTATTTCTTTTTTTCCCTAAAAATGGAGCTTTCTTTTGGTGGTATTTGATTGTCTGAGATTTTATTTTTTGCACTGTAAACAAAAAAAAAACAATTTTTTTTTACTTTTTGCTATAAAACATATCCAGTAAAAAAAAACAAAAAAACAAAAAAATCAAATTTCGTCATAAATTTAAGCCAAAATGTATTCTGCTACATGTTTTTGCTAAAATAAAATCCCAATACGTGTAAATTAATTGGTTTACGTGAAAGTTATAGCATCTACAAATGGCGGTATATTTAATGGAATTAAAGTAATGGCGGCAATCAGCAACTTATAGAGGGATTGCGGGACTGCAGCGGGCATTCTGACACTGGTTGGGAACAGTCCAGGGGCGGACTGACAACTCATGGGGCCCCCGGGCAATAGGGGATCATGGGGCCCCTGTGACCTTGCCCAAACTCAAAAAAGCCTGTGAAAAAAAGGTACCAGGGGCATCTCATGGGGGCCCTTACTGACCCCGGGCCCTCGGGCAGTGCCCAAGTTTCCAAATGGTCAGTCCGCCCTGGAACAGACTAACTTCCACTGACATCCCCAGTGACACCCATACAGTGACCAGTGCTAATAAAAAGCACTGACACTGTACTAATGACACTGGGCAGGAAGGGGTTAACATCTGGGTGCTCAAAGGGTTAACTGTGTGCTGTTTTACAAACTGGCTGTAGAGCAATACAAAGCAGCATGCTGGTGCTGACAGGGGAGAGATCTTTATTGTTTACATATAGACCTCTCCTCTGTCAGTGTTCCTCAGTGATTGCCGGGTGCCGGTGGGGAATTCCGGTGATTGACAGCTGTAGCTGCCAATGGCAGCACGGGTAGGGCAGTGCGCGCCCCCTACCCAGAAATACAAAACCACATATATATATATACACACGTGATTTTGCGCAGCCCTGCTTCCCTGTAGCAATAGTTCTACTATTGAGAGCGGTCGGGAAGCAGTTAATAAGGCTGCTGTGTCACTTTTCTGGCATTATTCCTCTTGTTACTGTATTGTTCCAAATTCATGAAGCATTTGCGAATTTTTGGTTCTGACAATGACTCACGCACCAAATTCAGATAGTTCTAAAATTTTACATTGTGTTGCACTGAATGCACCATTTCTATATTGTGTCGCATTGAATGCGCCAAATTCAAAAGTGGAGCTAATTAGGACTAACTTTTGCAGAATTGGTCTGTACCAGTCGTTAATTCCAGGGACACACTACAGAGAAATAATAACATCCCAACTCAGATGCCGACCGCCCTCAGTAATTTTATTGGCAGGTGAAAGCACAATCGCATACCTGTACATTGGCACTAGAGATGAGCGAATTATTCAAAAATTCGATTCGGCTGATTCGGCGAATTCACGGAATAAATTTGATTCGAGTCGAATATATTCGCTGCGAATTTTACTTATAAAAAGGGTGTTTCTAGGCTTCAGAGAGCCTTTATATTAGTGCAGAACACTGTACCTTTAATTTAAATGCCCTTGGAGTCTGCTGGGGAAGAGAAATAATACTGTCAGTCAGTATGACATGCAGATGAGTGCCGTCGATCTTAGAATCACCGCACACTTCACTCATTTGGGCAGTCACGGGGCCAAAACCAGAGTGTGGAGCCACAGTGTGGCGGTGGAGGCAGCAGCAATGGGAGGCCATACAGCACCCTATGACAAAATGGAACCCACCAGCAGTGTGAGGAGACCTGAAAGTGGCACATGGCAGAGTGTGGCGATGGAGACAGCAGCAATGGGAGGCCGTACAGGGACCCATGACACACTCTGGACCTGGCAGCAGCATGAGGAGGCGGTACAGGGGGCCCATGACAGATTACGGGCCTGGCAGCAGCATGAGGAGTCGGTACGGGGGCCCATGGCAGATTACGGGCCTGGCAGCAGCAATGGGAGGCCGTACAGGGACCCATGACACACTCTGGACCTGGCAGCAGCATGAGGAGGCGGTACAGGGGCCTATGAAAGATTACGGGCCTGGCAGCAGCATGAGGAGTCGGTACGGGGGCCCATGGCAGATTACGGGCCTGGCAGCAGCAATGGGAGGCCCGTAATCTGCCAGCACCCTATGACAAAATGGAACCCACCAGCAGTGTGAGGAGACCTGAAAGTGGCACATGGCAGAGTGTGGCAATGGAGACAGCAGCAATGGGAGGCCGTACAGGGACCCATGACACACTCTGGACCTGGCAGCAGCATGAGGAGGCGGTACAGGGGCCCATGACAGATTACGGGCCTGGCAGCAGCATGAGGAGTCGGTACGGGGGCCCATGGCAGATTACGGGCCTGGCAGTAGCAATGGGAGGCCATACAGCACCCTATGACAAAATGGAACCCACCAGCAGTGTGAGGAGACCTGAAAGTGGCACATGGCAGAGTGTGGCGATGGAGACAGCAGCAATGGGAGGCCGTACAGGGACCCATGACACACTCTGGACCTGGCAGCAGCATGAGGAGGCGGTACAGGGGCCCATGACAGATTACGGGCCTGGCAGCAGCATGAGGAGTCGGTACGGGGGCCCATGGCAGATTACGGGCCTGGCAGCAGCAATGGGAGGCCCGTAATCTGCCAGCACCCTATGACAGAATGGAACCCACCAGCAGTGTGAGGAGACCTGAAAGTGGCACATGGCAGAGTGTGGCGATGGAGACAGCAGCAATGGGAGGCCGTACAGGGACCCATGACACACTCTGGACCTGGCAGCAGCAAGAGGAGGCGGTACAGGGGCCCATGGCAGAGTGGCGAAGCGTAAGCAGCTTAAATTGAAGGCCATACAGAGGCCTATGTTAAAAATAATAACATGTTTGGGGCATGATTCATGGCGGATTTAGTCAGTTGTGTCAGGAACTGGTGGTTTGAAATCCAGACTAATCCACGCCTGATTCATTTTCACAAACGTGAGTCTCTCTCCACACTTTGGGTGGACAGTCGTGTCCTCCGCGGAGTTACAATACCTCCTGCCGCACTAAACACGCACTCCGATGCCACGCTACTGGCCGGGCATGACAGCCTTTCAAGGGCAAATTCAGCTAGTTGGGGCCAAAGGTCAAGTTTCGTTGCCCAGTAGTCAAGGGGATTGTCTACCTCGGTTGGCAGGGTGCTGTCCAAGTAGGCCCAAGCCTGTTGTTTGAGGTCCTGCTCCAGGTCCACCTGATGCTGCTGCTGCTGCTGCGGCTGGTTAGCAGTTTCCTCACTGCGCTGGTGAAGAAAGCTACTCATCATCAACTGCAGACTGAGGCAGCCGCTGCTGGTGGAGCTGCCACTGCTCCTACCACCCCACCCCTCCCCTGCTGCCATGGCCAGGGCCCACAGTGTCTGAGGATGGACGTTGGCGCAGAAAGGCAGAGACCAACTGACTACATAGGTGGTTTTTATAGTACGTTATTTTGGCCTCCCTCTCAGCAGGTGTGAAAAAGGCCACCATTTTTGAACGGTAGCGAGGGTCCAACAAGGTGGACAGCCAAAAGTCATCCCTCTGTCTGATGGTTATTATTCGGCTGTCGCTACGCAAGCAACCGAGCATGCTATGGGCCATTTGTGCCAAGGAATGCGAGGGACTCCCTGCCTCCATCTCCAGAGCATACTGCCATGGTGCGTCTGGGTCCTCTGTCTCCTCCTCCTCCTCCTCTACCAGATGCTCCTGCTCCTCCACTCCTGTCCGCTGAGTGGAAAAACCACCCATTTCACTCAATAATTCCTGAGCACCAATGTCCTCCTCTACCTCCTCCTCTTCTTCCTGTCCTGCCCCCACAGGGGTCATGTGGCGTTGAGATCTGTGCGCCACGTCTACCGCACCCTGACCAGCCATTGTTAACAGCATTTGTTCCAGGACGTGCAACAAAGGAATGACGTCGTTCATCCCATAGTCCTGCCGACTCACGAATAGCGTGGCCTCCTCAAAGGGCCTGAGCAAGCGGCAGGTGTCACGCATGAGCTGCCAATGGCTGACATCTAAGTTACACAGGGGAGTACCTTTATCCGCTTGTAACATCAGGAAATCGGTGATGGCCTTTCGCTGTTCGTAAAGGCGGTCTAACATATGTAGGGTTGAATTCCACCTTGTTGCAACGTCGCAGATCAGGCGATGCTGTGGAATTCCGTTCTGCCGCTGCAGCTCAAGGAGGGTGTGCTTTGCGGTGTAGGAATGGCTGAAATGCATGCAAAGTTTACGTGACATTTTAAGGATGTCTTGCAGTGGGATGGTGGATTTTAGGAACCGCTTGACAACCAGATTGAACACGTGAGCCATGCATGGCGCATGGCACAACCTTCCTTGACGCAGAGCAGACACCATGTTCTTTCCGTTGTCGGTCAACATGGTTCCGATTTTCAGTTTGCGCGGAGACAGCCATCTGTCTATTTCTCTGTTCATTACACTCAGAAGTTCCTCCCCTGTGTGACTACGTTCGCCAAGGCATACCAGGTGCAGCACAGCGTGACACCGTTGCGCCCTGCACATGTGATATGCCGGTCGGGTAATGGGACTTGGCACGGGGGTGGCGGCTGAGGACACGGCAGAAGAAGAGGTGGTAGAGGCGGACATCTTTGCTGGACCAAGGACGTGCAAACGTGGAGGCAAAAGCGGCGTGACCTGTCCAAGTTGCTGGTGCGGCTGTGCCGGCACCACGTTCACCCAGTGGGCCTTAAATGACATGTACTGTCCCTGACCGTAGTTACAGCTCCACACGTCGGCGCTGCCGTGCACTTTGGCAGAGACCGACATGCTCAAAGACTGGCCCACCATCTCTTCTACATGTGAATGCAGGGCTGGCACTGCCTTTTTGGCGAAGAAATGCCGGCTTGGCACTCTCCACCGCGGCTCGGCACAAGCCATCATTTCTCGGAAAGGTGCTGAGTCGACCACTTGGAAAGGGAGGGACTGCAGCACCAGCAACTTGGACAGGAGGACGTTCAGCTTCTGCACCGTTGGGTGCGTGTTCGCAAACTGTTGTCTCTTGGAAACGGATTCCAAGAAAGACTGCTGACGGAATCCGTGAAGAGGAGTAGCAGGAGAAGGAGAATCTGAACGAGCGGAAGATGCCAACGAGCGACAACTCCCCTCAGCAGAGGTGTTGGAGCCTTGACTGGCTGATAGAGGGCGATTGACGTCGGGTGACGGAGCAAGTAACGGAGCGGGTGATGGAGCGGGGGCTGGGGCAGGCAGAACCGCCGTATCTTTATCACGGTTTTCCCAGGCCACCGAATGGCGACGCTGCATATGCTGACGCAACGCTGTAGTCCCAACATGGGCCCCCTGGCCACGCTTGACTTTCTGGCCACATAGTCAACATACGGCTACGTTTACTTCCTCGGGCGGCTTGACGAAAAATTGCCACACCGCCGAGTAGGAAACTTTGCCCCCGCTACTCCTCACTGGCTGACTGCTACTTCCTCCGTGCACACCGGCACCACTACTGGCCGTGGTGGTAGGCTGCAGTGGAGCTGGTGCTCTACTCCGTGGCCGTTTGCCTCCACTGACACTGCTGCGACCCTGCTGCCTCCTGGGCAACCCACCGACTGTTTTGCTCGCTGCCAAGCTGGCACCCTCTTCTCCTGATGATGCGGAAGCAATAGCCTGATGACGACGAGGCTGCCAAGTGCGATCAGCCTCATCATCATCAATTAGGGTCTCCGCCTCACTACTAGCCCCCTCGGCTGCGTGTGGGTCAGGAGACAGACCTGTCTCTAGACCGGCTACTGAGCCACTCTCCTCGCCAGTACTTCTTCGCCTGGCTGCTGAAGAGGCGGATGTCTCCCCCCGTTCCTGACCGCCCTCTGTTAGCTTTTCCTCACTGTACAGTGGGGCTGAGCCCACAGCATGCGATACTTCGCTTGGTGAGGGAACACCAAAGGACAGGGGCAGGTAGAGGACACGTGATTTCAGTGGGCTTGCTCCCGGGCCATGCCAACTAACGGTTGTGTCTGACGTACCCACCGACCGTTGGCTGTAGGTGTCAGAGGTGACCTGGGAAGTGGAAGACGACCGAGCCAACCAATCGATGACGGCAGGGTTGTCGGTGGAGACATGACCGCTGGATGACACCGGGAGCACTGGCCTCTGGCTGCGACTAGTGCTGCCTCGACCCCTTCCTCTGCTGCCACGTCTGCTCGCTCCTGAAACATTGCCTCCTCTGCCACTCCTCTGCGTGTTGTCTGACATACTCTTTAATTCAACGATTCTGTGTCCCTGAGTAATGATTCTGTGTCCCTGAGTAACGATTCTGTGTCCCTGAGTAACAATTCTGTGTCCCTGAGTAACAATTCTGTGTCCCTCAGTAACGATTCTGTGTCCCTCAGTAACAATTCTGTGTTCCTCAGTAACAATTCTGTGTCCCTGAGTAACGATTCTGTGTCCCTGAGTAACAATTCTGTGTCCCTGAGTAACAATTCTGTGTCCCTGAGTAACAATTCTGTGTCCCTCAGTAACGATTCTGTGTCCCTCAGTAACGATTCTGTGTCCCTGAGTAACAATTCTGTGTCCCTGAGTAACAATTCTGTGTCCCTGAGTAACGATTCTGTGTCCCTCAGTAACGATTCTGTGTCCCTGAGTAACGATTCTGTGTCTGTCCCTGAGTAACAATTCTGTGTCCCTGAGTAACGATTCTGTGTCCCTCAGTAACGATTCTGTGTCCCTCAGTAACGATTCTGTGTCCCTCAGTAACGATTCTGTGTCCCTGAGTAACGATTCTGTGTCCCTGAGTAACAATTCTGTGTCCCTGAGTAACGATTCTGTGTCCCTCAGTAACGATTCTGTGTCCCTGAGTAACGATTCTGTGTCCCTGAGTAACGATTCTGTGTCCCTGAGTAACGATTCTGTGTCCCTGAGTAACGATTCTCCCTGAGTAACGATTCTGTGTCCCTCAGTAACAATTCTGTGTCCCTGAGTAACAATTCTGTGTCCCTGAGTAACAATTCTGTGTCCCTCAGTAACAATTCTGTGTCCCTCAGTAACAATTCTGTGTCCCTGAGTAACAATTCTGTGTCCCTAAGTAACGATTCTGTGTCCCTCAGTAACAATTCTGTGTCCCTGAGTAACAATTCTGTGTCCCTCAGTAACAATTCTGTGTCTGTCCCTGAGTAACAATTCTGTGTCCCTGAGTAACAATTCTGTGTCCCTGAGTAACGATTCTGTGTCCCTCAGTAACAATTCTGTGTCCCTGAGTAACAATTCTGTGTCCCTGAGTAACAATTCTGTGTCTGTCCCTGAGTAACAATTCTGTG